TCGAAAATATTTACTTCCATAATCGAATACAGGCAAAGATACAGGAAAACAACACCGTGTATACCAGTACAAAACGAAGTCAGACAGGGTGACTAGTTGAGCCCACAAAGACGAGCTCCACAGAATAACACAAATCTTCAATACAACAATCATACAATAGAACAACAGAAATACAATATCAGAAGAAAAACCAAATGTATGACAACATATAAATACCCACTGCTACGTAAAATCGAAAAAATAAGAAAATAATAAAGCAGGAATCAAAGTTTAGACATCTGAGATTAGATATAACTAGTTACGGATATGTTGAAGAAGAAATACGACAACAAAATTTAAAGGCAAGTAAATTGGCGGGATCTCTTAATGACACAATTTGGAAGAACAAACACCTAAGGCAAGATACAAAAACAATCTATATCTATCTATAAAGCAGCAATTGGACCTATGTTAACATACACGGTGGAGACAAGACCTAACATATCTAAAACGAGACGCCTACTAGAAATAACAGAGATGAAAATACTTCGACGTATATCAGGGAAAATGTTGGATAGCGAGAGAAGCGAAAACATAAGAAGAGCATGCAATATAGAAGACATAAGTGGATGGGTGACAAAACGGCAACAGGAGAGGAACGAACACATTAGTCGAATGGCAGAAGATAAGATAGTACGAATAACACGAAAGTCTACCTAACAATTTAGGAGGCTAATATTAAAGAAGAAATAGGCTACTAAAGTCTACATACAAGAAGAAAGAAGTAGACGAAGAAGAATTTTAACGCGATCATTCATAATTTTATTCCAGCCTTAATCAATTATTGAATGAAAGTAAAGATCTTATGGAAAATTGAGAAAACTAAAATAGTTGTAAAACGCTTCAATTTCCTGTTAAAGTAGTTCATTTCTGATTTGTCATCACATATAACAAATAATTATATAACACATTATATATAAATATATTTATACATGTAAACATCGATTGTAGCAGCCTTTTGTAATGAATGGTTTGAGATTTATATATAATTTAAATTAATTGATCTAATTTTTTGAATAAAAAATTAGTACTGGGAATTCACTCCTGGCATGTTAACAAGTTAACACATATGGCAGACGATTAAGTTTTTATAAAGTTAAAACGCAGAAATCATGAAATATGAGAAGGTAGTGCCTATTTGTAGTGTAATTTGTTGTTGATCTGTACCTCACGACTGACTAATTAAAGGTAAGTTTTTCAATATAATTGAGTTTAATTAGAGTGTGAAAATGCACATTATTTGATATGGAAAAAGTACTTTCTCGTAATATATGTAATAAGTGCCTAAAGGCGTACTTTTCACGAATGGGAAGATTGACTGCATTGGCATCAATTACATGACTCAAAAAGACACCTTATGCACATAAAATAAAATCAAAATCAAAATCAATTAAGGATATTTAATAAATTACATGTAGTGGCAAATATGTAATGATTGAATTCGAAATTATAGACAACAGTATATTAAAAATAAATCAATAACTAAATTATGAATATTTCTTGACTTTGGCATTGTAAATATTGAAAACGTCATTCTCTAAATGACGATTTTATGTTTTTTTACTTAAGTCACTACAATGATCGAACGATAGTGGTAAAAAAGAAGTCCGAAATATATGTATTTTTATGTAAACTTATCAATTGTGGTAGTCTAAAATATGAACTTCTGGCAGCGTTATGAACACCGGATAAATAAGCTAATTGAACATTATAAAACGTTAATTACTGACAAATAACTTTTGCCCGTCATTTCCGGCTCTGGTGCAATAAATCTATTTATATTTACCTCCATTCGTGATTATCGTTTATTCCGTTAAATATATATTTTTAAAGTGTGCAAATACGTTAAATTTCTAGTTGATGGTAAGTAAGTAGTCACAAAAGGAGCATATTATGCTTTCTAAATGTTTTATTGGAGCGCTGAAAATAAAATAATAAATAATATTCTTTTGGGTACATCACCGAACATTCGACAAAACCCTGCTGAAGGGATACAATTCAGCCAAAGGTTTGTTTTTATTAAATCCCATTTATTTTCTTCTTCTTCTTAGTCGTTAACCTGATGCAGGTATCGTGATTTCATGAAGCTATTAGCTAAATTTCCCAATGTTCCTCCACGTTTTTCTATCTTCTGCCATTCTAGCGCATTCTGACAATGGAGCGCCAATGGTAGCAACAATATGGTCCGTGTATCGTGTGGAAGATCTACCTCTATTTCTTTTGCCTTCTACTTTTCCCTGGATGGTAAGTTTTTCAAGACCATTTCTTCGAAGCACATGTCCAAAATAGCTTATTATTTGTTCTGATATTTGTGTTCTTAGTCTTTTCTTTATGTTTAGCTGGTCCAGTATGGATTCATTTGTTCTTCGGGCCACCCATGGTATTCTCAGCATTCGTCTCTAGCAGTACATCTCAAATACATCTATTTTCGTTTTGTCTTTCTCAGTAAGGGTCCAGCATTCAGATTCATAAGTAAAAACTGGAAAAACTAGACCGCCTCCTTTGTTGGTTATTAATGAGCCCAGATACACAAATTTATCTGCAACAGCAGTATTGTTTATCATGACCAGATGATTTTGATTGTTGTTAGCTCTGCCAATTATCATGATTCTCGTTTTATCTTCTGTTTCTTTTAAGGCCCATCGTTAAGCTTACTTCTTCTATCCGTTGTAGCAGGTGAATCAATTCAGCTTCAGAACTAGCGAGGATAGTAGTATCATCTGCATATCTCAAGTTACAAATCTTCTTCCCGCCAATAGTGATGCCACCGTTCCAGTCCTCAGTAGCTTTCCGCATTATCCATTCACCATAGATGTTCAATAGAATTGGGCTTAGTATGCAGCCTTGTCTCACGCCCTTTGTGACCCTGAAACTATCGGTTAGTTTCCCATTTATTTTAACTCTGGCATAATTGTTATTGTACAGGCTTTTAATTAGCAGTATCCCCATTTATTTTAACCCGTTTTAATTTATTATTGGTGAATTCGAGCTAGGAATAAGGAACGAAAGAGGGTAAAGACTGACGGAATTCTGTCAGGAGTTTGAAATGATAGCGACAAATTACATTATTTCAGTTTACCACCACGTAGATTATATACATGGAAATCATCTATGGATAGCAAAGAAAAAATTATCAGAAACCAGATAGATTATATCCTTATCAATAAGAGATACCGTAACTCCATCAAATCGACAAAGACATATCCAGGAACAGATGTGTCATCAGACCACAATCCAGTAATCGTAAAATTCGAAATTCACTTAAAGAAAATAAAAAATCAGCAAAAGACACAACAAATAAGCACTCTGCCAAAACACCCGAATATAAAAGAGGAACTATCGTTGAAGATTAACTAATCACTAATCAGTGATAATGAAGATTCCAACGAAAAATGGGAAACATTTAAGAACACATTAATGATGCCAATTAAAGATACGCTGAGTAGTCACAAAATCGATGAAGCTAAGACTCCATGAATGACAGATGAGATCCGGCAACTAATAGATAAAAGACGATATACAAAAACAAAAATGTAAACAAATACAAACCACATACAAGGAAATCAGTATAAAAATACGGGCAGCTAAAGAGAAGTGGTACAATGACAAATGTTTAGAGATAGAAGAACTCCAGAGAAATCATGATAGTTTTAAATTACACAAAAAAATTAAAGAATTAGCACGTATAAGACGGTCCAACAATAGTAACACCCTGGTTGATACGAATGGTAAAATAATATCTGATATCAAAGGCAAACTAAACAGATGGAGAGAATACGTCCAAGAATTGTTTGAGGACGACAGGGCACAACAAGATAGCATGAACGATTGCGAGGAACATGATATAGGTCCAAATATAACTAAAGATGAAAATAATACCTAGTACATGCAATAAATCTAGTCAAAATCTAATAAAACTGCGGGGCCTGACACAATTCCAACTGAAATATACCCTATATACGTACATGTGTATTTTTTAAAACATCACACGACTGTATCGTTACTCTGTGTCCCTTTGTTGTAATTTTATGATGCGTCATAAAAGAAAATAAACTGCTACTTGCGCTTGCGCTTTGTATTTTTTCACATAATTTTACAACCTTCGATAGCTCAGTTGGTAGAGCGGTGGACTGTAGTGGAATTCATAACGTAGTCATCCATAGGTCGCTGGTTCAAATCCGGCTCGAAGGATTTTTTTTTATTGACAAATCTAATAAACTTGATTATTTTCAAAGGATTTAAAAATATACAATATATTCAATTGCACGTAAATATTAATAAAAATGTATTGTGTCGTGAACTTTGGTGTTTTGAGATTCATTTATTAATTTGTTTTTGCACTTTCTCCAAACTGTCAGTGTTTAGTGCTATTAAACATTCAATTAATTCTTAAATCGAAACATGTTTTATATTATATAGAAACATTTATTTTTGTTTTGTATATGTTGACATAACTTTATATTTTTATTAATAAAAAAATACTAACGTAATCTTCGAAAAACTCTTTTTTTAACACAGTGATAGCTGCACTGCAAGCAAATAGGATTTCTACATTTTATATCTTTGATGTTTGATGATGATGTTTTTCTCTCTTTCCGAGACGAGTATATACCTAGAACAGGTTTTGCATTTACAGAATTTGTCAGACGCAAGTTCCTTATTGGGATTTTCTAATTCTTTTGGCATAATATTAAATTTTAAAATAAATTAAAAATATACGCTCTTATTGCTTGAAACAACCACTTATTAGCGACGGGGCAACGGCGGATCGTGGAAAGTCAACGGCGCGCAGTGTTGCCATTTATAGTGTGTATATCTAATTTAAAACTTAACGTACAGTATAAGAGACTTCTAAAATATTTTGTATCATGTTAAAAAGATTAATTGTGAAGTAACCGAAACTTGCTAATTAAATTTATATGTTTTAGTATTTATTAGAGGTCAAAGTAGTACGTCCAAAGATGTCAATGATCTCAGCCGCAAGTATACACTCCTTAGTCGACGTTTTTGAGGTATCAAAATGTGGACCTACTACCCAAAATGAGACACCAAGTTTAGTTATCGAGACTAAAGTACCCCTTTGTAAAAAACTAAAAGGTGTCGCGAAAAATATTACCGTGGAACCAATTTTACTTCTTAGTATGTTGGCACATGTGGTATCCGCCCTTACGGTCCAAAATCTAATTTTAGAAAAAAGTTGTAGAGTTCATTTAGTATTGAGCAATGCTACTTGCAACACCCTCACCTACAAGAATAAATCCGATCCTGGATATCTAGATTATGAGAAAAAAGTGCAGGTTGTAGCTACGAGTATGTTCATATGGAGGGATGCTATCATGAGTTTAATACCATCAATGCTCCTACTTTTTATAGGATCATGGAGTGATCGATACAAGAAAAGAAAGCATATTATTCTTAACGTTACGTTAGGGGACATATTCACAACGCTATGTTGGCTTATCTCCACATTTTATTTTTGTGAATTGCCCCTGGAAGTTACTATTTTAGGAGAAGTTTTACCAGCAGTAGTAACTGGAGGACAACCAGTTGCTTCAATGGCATTTTTCAGGTAAGTCCACTTTTTTATTAATTCTTTTTAACAATATTTTAAAATGCTTTTATATTGTAGACTGCTTTATAATAAATTCTGATATATCGGATGGATGTTGTTAGAGCTTTGTAACATATCATAATTCAGCCCTTATATGTCTCTTTATTAATACGGCTCTGCATATAATTCAGCCCTGTACTGTATTTACTTTATTACAAAAATCGAGTTTTCGTTAAATGTCTAAATGTAAATTTTTATTACCTCATAAATCAGACCCTTTCATATATCCTAAGAAATAATATTTATATAATATCTAAGAGAACAAGCCAATGCGCCAATAAAACGAGATTATTGATATAAAACTATATCGGAACTTTTGTTGATTATATTGAAAGATTAAATGCGTAACAAAAAAAAAACGGAATGTAACATTCTGGGAGTGACACAGGAAAGAAAACAGTATTTTGAGAACGATTTCCGAAGTAGAAATCGAAACGTCAAATAAATTTGTTTTATGTAACAATAAACACTGAAAACTTTGTTTTCAAAAGTTCCACAAAAATTTATTATATAATCTTATGACTACAGCTGTTTCGGCTGATTGCCTTTCTCAGGTGATCTATTTTTAGCATGCGTGTACACTTTATATAGTCTTTAATGAGATAGGTTGAGGAGAAGAGAACTGTTTGTCTCAAGTTGGTCACTCAGAATTATATCTGTGTTTTTTAATTTGTTAATTTCCATAGATTATAACAAAGATAGCTTAGGCCTTTATTTTGAATGTAAAGAATTTTTAATTCGTCATTAAAGGAATGATTATGATCTAGAAGGTGAAGTGCGTATGTAGAATATGTTTTTCTATTATTGAAAGCCCTTTTATGTTCTGCTATTCGTTTATTAAAATTTCTACCAGTTTGACCGATGGGCATCATATTGGTCCTGTGTTAACTACATCCGCCATAAGGTTTTATAAGATTGTCATTTCCTATTTAATTTTTCCTTATCTTAAATGAAAAATTCATCAATCTGAAGTCAACGCCAACGTCAAGTCAACGTCAAGTCAACGTCAAGTCAACGTCAAGTCAACGTCAAGTCAGGAAGATGCAAACACCTTTGAATTTTCGAAAAACTATTTCAGTTCTTATTATTTTATTTATTAAAATTATTCATTATAATAAGAGTAACATTTATTTGCAACTTATTTTTAAGTAAAGCTCTTAAAATTACTTAATATCAAAAATAAATCTTATTCAATAATAAAAATATTAAAAATAAAGAAGAAAGAAGTTCAACAGAGGAATAAGAAAAAACCCTAGAAGAAAGAAAATATTAAATTCCAATGCAAGACTCCAGACAAGAATATACCGGTAATTTCACTCCAATAATAGAAAACTCCTATCTCACATATAAAGATATAAGTTATAATATTGTTATGTTTATTTTAATTTATTTAAAGTATTCGAACAGTAACACTAAAACACGATTAATTTATAACATTTATTAATTTATTTACACGTCTTTTTCTTAATGTTCAAAATGTTCCTAGAACTCAAGCAAAAGCTTGGCATAACATTGCCCTCTCCTTAAGAGATGGTTTGTCCTGGAATCTTGTCGGGACTGGAACTAAATGCTGGTATCAGCAAACTAGGCTCTCTTTTACAACTGTCAGTTGTATAAAATTTGCAAGGGACGGTTTTGCTCCGCAGCAGTAACCATGCGGATTGCAACAGACTAGTACCATTTCCTCCACCATATTTCAGACAACCCTCTAATCCAATTGACTGCATTCTAGCTTGAGCATTGCTAATTGTTCACTTTGGATTCTAGGACTTGCACCCTCAAGTTTCCCGTACATCTTGGTAGGTGAGTTGGTCATGGGCAATGTCTTTTGTTACCAGATAGAAAGAGTAATTTGATGCATCTTGGAGTTTCAGAGCTTTTCCGAGAGCTGGTAGAAGTTATTTTGAAAGATCGATGACAATTGTCATGCGTCTTTAATCTGGGAGTGCGAGTAGATCTTGCTTTTCTTCAGTGCTTACACCATGTCATGCTTTACTGTTACCTCCGTATGTACCCATGAATACCTCAAACGTGAGGTCAGGTACTTCTTTGACTTGGTTTTTTCCACTTGTTCATCTAATTCGTGGACTCCTTCGAATGGCGCCAGCCAGTTATGGTGTACTATGATTTTTTCCACTTAGAATCTTGCTTGTTTGGAAGATAGCATAGTTAATATTATGTATGCCCCTTCCCAAAACTACTGCAACTTGGAAGAACAGCCCTTTTGCTTCTTTGCATCTCGACATCTAAACTCTAGATCAAAAAGTAGTCGCATCTCGCGTCCAAATGGGACTTTTGCCTTAGACCATTGCGAAGAATGGATGGGACTGGTCCTAGTCTCGCTGATAATTAGACACCATTTTTGCCAAATACTTGCCAACTGTTTTATTCATTCCATCAGATTGCGGTTAATAGTCTGTTGTTCTTGTTTTCTTCATACTTAGGCTAATGCAGACTCCTTGGATTAGATCGCCCTCAAAGTTCTTTTCTTGGTCACTGTAGATCTTCAAAGATACCTCAAATTGGCTGATGTACTATTTGATCAACACATCTGCAATAGAGGCGGTCTTCTGGTTGGAATTGCGTAGATCTCTATTAACTTTGTGAAGCAATCCTTCATGGCCAACATGTATTTGCAACTATTTTAGCTTTTCGAAAACGGTCAAAGATATTCTTTCAAATGGACTTCTTACATAGGAGCCTTTCTTTTCGAGAAGGTCCCTTACTCGTGGCACAGGTAGTACATTTCTTACACCAGTCCTCTACATTGACGAAACGATTCATCCAATAAAACCGTTTCCAGAATTCTCTAAAGGGTTTTCTTCACACCGAGATGCCCTCGTAATGGACTGTCGTGTCACTGACGAATTACTTCGGCCATTATGTTCTTTTGAATCACCAACTTGGAAATATCGTCATTTTTCAGTAATCGTTTAAGCAATCTGTCTTCCATGATAAAACAGTCCCACTGGGTTTAATATGTTTTAACTACTTAGCTAGGATTGATATTTATTGCCATTTTCGAATTTTTTGTAAAATTGGATCTTTCTCTTGTTCTTCTGTGAACTTAATAGGTGTCCACTCCTCTTTGCCTATCGTTGTTCTTAGCACTGCTTCTTCTTTGGATTCCGGTTTTTTTTTGCAGTGAAAACACTCTACTGGGCAAGGCAAGGCCATAGCAAAACCGCTTGTTCGGAGGCCCAGGGATTGAGGATAGAGATTCATTAGGGACTAGAGATGCTAACTGGAGACACCATCTTATAATGTGCATCACTACCTCTTTGAACCTCTTTGAGTCAAATTTAAGAGGCATAAATAGTACACACATTAACATGTAGATAAAAGACAAGACAATATACGGTATATACAATATTACAGCATGTAAAACACGTTTTATATATAAAAACAAAAGAACTTTTTAGGCACTTTATTATTTATTTTGACATTTTCAAAAATATTATTTACAATTCAAACTAGCACACAAGAAAAAAATGCAAAGAATGAAATTATTCATGCTATAGAATTAAGAAAAGCTGTTTTTCTTCCAGATTAGCTTCAACATTACCTTCTGCATCCAAGTTAGACAAAAACCGATCTAATATCCAGAACCTTTACTCCTTAAATTAGGACTGGTATATCTAAGTATCTATTTGGTAAGTCATATAAATATTTACCTTTGCAATTTAATCGAAGAATTTGAAAGATTAATCTTGGAATTTAATAAATTTAAGAGATATATTGGTATAAGAGATAGATTATAAAGAATGTATGGAAAGAATACTTGGAGAAACTTTTCCATGACCTTAGAACAATACAAGAGCCCACCATTGAAGAAAATTCAGGTTCCGAAATCCTACCAGAAGAAATAACGGCAGCCGTCAGACAAATGAAGGATGGAAAGACACCGGGACTTGATAAATTCCTGCAGAACTGTTGAAGCTGTTAGATGCAGAACAAATAAAATTAATAACTGAAATATTTAATGAAATATACAAGCCAGGAAAAATACCAACAGAGTGGCTCAAATCGGAGTTCGTACTATTGCCCAAAAAACCAGGAGCAAAAGTTTGTGAAGATTATAGGACAATAAGCCTAATGAGCCATCTGCTGAAGCTGTTTTTAAAGGTCATCCACAAAAGAATTTACCGGAAATGCGAGGAACAAATTGCGCCCAATCAGTTTGGATTTGTGAACGCCGTTGGTACGAGGGAAGCTTTATTTAGCGTGCAGGTATTGTTTCAGAAATGTAGAGATGTCAGCTGTAATATTTTTGCATGCCTGATTGACTACAAGATTAAACTTATTTTATAAACCAGATGTAATGTATTTTTTATTAATATAAGCCAAAATATTGTTACAATGTAAAATAACCGGCATGGAAACATATTTTCTTACTCCCCACCAATGATCGAAATCAAAATTTCCCGGAAATTATGATGGGCACGTGATTTCGGCTACATTTCACCACTTATGGCGCGTGATTTGTGATTTATAGTTTTATTTACTATTTGCCAGACTAAATTTTAAAACAAAACATTTGTCAGTCCTTATTCAAAATCCCGGGTAATGTTCTTAGAATCTCTGTAAGCGTAACAAGAAAAAAACAGACAGTAAATATTTCTCTCCTTCAAAAACAACTTTCTGCTAAAGTAAATAAAAATCTCGTAGGTAGTGGTTTAAACTACTATTTTAAAACGCAAACAGATATAAACTATATCGGTTTTTGTGACCTACTTTGTGAAAAAAAAAACAATACTACATACTAGTTCTCCAGTTTTAGTGTATTAGTATTATAGTTGGGCCGCCGAACAGATAATATTATCACGAGAACGCCATGCGCTGGTTACGAGTTGCAGTTCCCAACGTCACAAGTTCGATTTACACTAGGTCAAGAAGAGAGATACAATTATCGCAGTGAATGCGTTAAAGCCCATAATATACATATTGAAAACTTAATTCTATTTGTCACTGTAATAATGAAATATCATATCAAATTGAAATTTCTGTATTTTAATTATCGTCTTCTGAAAAGACGATTCAAAACAATAACAATTCATGTATATGATTGCTGATCAATGTTTTTTTGAATGAAATTCAAATTTGATTAAAAAAAAATATGACAATATTCTTAATTAATAAATTAATTACTATCGGTGTCCTCTCTTATCTACATGGTTGATAGCATTTTTCGAGAAATCCGATGTAACAGCATTCAGTGCTTGGCTGAAAAGTACTTTTACGTCATTTAATTTATATGTCGTAGTTTTTCTTGCATTTTTACCCTTTACTTGTGCTCATATTAGCTCAATGGTGTTTAGCTCGCAGTGATAAGGGGGCAATCTAAGCACACATTTACCTGAAGACTTAATGATTTCATTTACCACATACTTTTGTTCTATGACTTTTTACTAGCGTTGGTAACTCAGCTTTGACCATGTCGTCAGTAAATATATTTTTTTTGTCGCAACAATTGTTGAATATTAGCTTTTCGCATAACACTAGTTGGTATCTTTTCATATTTTCTGCTATGGTACGACGCATTATCTAGGACAATAACTGCTTTTAGCTAAAGTTGGCAAAACCCTTTTTGAAGAGTGGCAGCCACTCTTCAAAAAGGTTGGAATTCATGTCTTCATGGTATAGAAAGGCCTTTAACATATGCTTTTCGAGCACTGGTGATTGACTGACGTTCGTTTTCAAACACATGAAGTCTGTAGACAGCCAATCACAACCCTGCAACTCTCCGACACTCAGTGATCAGGCGGCCTTGGGATTCTATTTGTTCGGCGACCCAACTTTAGTAAAAAATTAATTTAGTAAACTGTACGTCTATAAAGACGTACCCCTAATGGATAGCCACGTAACAGTGATGTATATCTTTCTCTCTCGCTCTCCCTATCCATCCCACTAAATACCAAATAAAGTTTAGTTTTACCAAGTTTTGGCGCGTTGGCCTCTGTTCTTAATTTGTATTATTTATTTTATAACTACCTACAAATACGTTCACAATTCAAATTATTATATTTAGTTATATCAGTGCAGTTAGCAGTGAAAACAGTAGAACAGCACGCATGGGTCTTGCCCATGCTGGAGTTACAGTTGTTATAGGTATTGGAAACTTAATCAGTGGTATCCTGTTCCATCAAGTACGATTTTATGGTGTGTTTGCGATATCATTTATTCTTTACACAACTGTATACTTCTACGGTTTATTCTTCATCAAGGATATTTGGGAATATAAAAGGGATAATGGAGAAGTACTCGAAAAACCAAGCAAGGATTTTTTAAACGACTTTTTCGATATCAAACATGTATATCAGACGCTTCAAGTCGCTTTTAAAAAAAGAGAAGATAGAAGAAGAAGAAGGATCTTCTTGACGTTGCTGCTTACTTTGCTTTCATTGGGTCCACTGAGAGGTATGTATTAATTTCTATTACGTATTCTTCTGATTGTTTAAAAATATTGTTCCAACTTAAATAGATATACATCGGAATAATATTTTATGTCATCTGTCCACCTCGTTGGGGGTCGACCTCTATTTCTGTTAGCTTGTATTCGGGGTCTCCATTCCAAAATTCTTTTTGTCCACCGGTCATCAACTAATCTTGCTACATGACCTGTCCAGTTCCACTTTAGTGTTGTTATCCTTTCAATAACGTCTGCTACACCTGACCTTTTGCGTATAGTAGCGTTGGGTATTCTATCACGTAGAGAAATCCCTAACATTATTCTCTCCATTGCCTTTTCCGCAACTTGTAGTTTACTCATTGTTGTTCTTGTGAGTGTTAGGGTTTCTGAGCCGTAGGTCATCACTGGCAAAATACACTGATTAAATACTTTTCTTTTCAGACACATTGGAATCTTAGACCTAAAAATATCCTTCATCTTTCCAAATGCAGCCCAAGCGAGGTTTATTCTTCTTTTCAGCTCGATTGTTTGGTTGTCTCGACTTATTCTGATCTCATAGCCCAAGTATTTATAGGAGTCAACTGGCTTAATATCTTTTCTTCTACTGAGATGTTTTGTTCTGGACTAAATTTGTCATAAATTGTGTTTTTGAAAAATTTATTTTAAGGCAAACTCTTTTGTGGCAGTATCGAGTTCTTGGAGCATTATCTGTGCCTAATCAAAGCTGTCTGCAATGAGAACGATATTATCTGCAAATTTAAGGTTATTTAAAAATTTTCCATCTACATTCATGCCCTTTTCGTTCCAATCTATTGTTTTACAAGCGTATTCTAGCAAAGTTGTAAATAATTTAAGAGACATGTCTAGGAGAAAGGTCCCAGTATCTTCATTAAGTCTTACATAGGCTGTAGCATGCTAACACATGACTTTTTTTGAAAAAACTATTCATTACAAAGAGGCCATTTCGTACCAAGAAAACCAAAAACATTTCGTCTCTTTTATTTCTTTGTCCGAATCCGTAGGGACCTATTGCAACTTCGGTCCCGTCCAGTTTTCATCCCAACTTAGTATTAAAGTCACCCATTACTAGGTTGTGTGTAGTAGGCGCCAGTTTTACTGCATTTTCTAGGTCTTCATAAAATGTTTCCACATCCTCGTCCGAAGGTGTAGATGTACATAGGCTTGAATTATTTTAAGGCTGTTTTTTTGTTACGTTTCAGTATGTAGAGTATTATTCTTGGGTTGATACCTTTAAGTTATTGGATATTTTAAGTGTGTCTCTTATGTATAAGAAGTATAACTCCTCCTATTTTTTCTTTGTTTCCCATATAGAAAAGTTGATGCCCTGATTTAAGAGTTATACAGTCTTCTTCTTCGCGTCTTACTTCACAGAGATCAATAACGTCCCATTTTATGTGGTTTAACTCTTCTAATTCCAATAATTTTTCTTCAGAAGACAGTGTTCTTGCATTGTACGTGGCGATATACATTTGTCGTTGTCCGTGGTAGCCTGATCTGACCCGGGGATTCTTCGCACCCTCCGTTTGCTGTCTTTCTTGACCGCTACCTTGACCAAGGATCAGCTCACAATTGAACAGCGCTGTACAAATACCGTTGTAAAGTTCTGACATAAAAACTATTATGCTATTATGCATAACCAAATCTATTATATCAATTATAGCATATTTTTTACGTATGTATTTATTTTTGATGAGTGTAACATACGATTTTAATTTTAGGAGAAGCAAATCTAATTTATTATTTTTCCAAATTAAAATTTGGTTGGAGCCCTGTGGATTTCAGTCTATTCATTACATTTCAATTTGCAGTGTACGTATCTGGTAAGTAAAACATTTTTTAATTTCAATAAAAAAGATTTTTGACCCTTCACTACCCTTAAATTTTTTTTAATATTCTCATATTTTAAATCGGAGGTTATTCTAAAATTGTTTCCTTGATAATGATAATTAACCAAAGTACCTAACCTTCTGTGAAACCTATTCGCAATTTTCCGAAAAGAAACTCTGACTTTTGTCCATAATTACAGTTGAGTTGCCCTTATGAGCTGGTAATACTCGTCTTTGAGTTCGTCTTTACTAACATTTACTTTTAATTTTGTGCTTTTCTGCAGTTCCTTTTTCCATAGTACTCTATATTCTTCCTTTACTTGTATTGGTAGTACTTGACCGATTTTTGCAACTGCACTGGATGTTTAACCGCAATAAAGTTTGTTATTATAATAAAATGATTTCGCTTTCTACTGATGGGGCCCCAGCAATGATTAGCAAAAAAAGGTGTACTAAAGAGGATCAGGGATAAAAATTAAAATTTAATAAAGTATCAGTGCATATATAAGTGAATACACCAGGCAGCCCTTTGTGGAAACCTTAGGGCTAGACTTAAAGTCATGGACAGTTTATTGAAGTTAATTAATTTTATGAGATCTCATTCTGCTCTTCAGCACCGACATTGCAAGGAGTTTCTTTCTAAATGTGATTCAGCATATTCTGACTTACTACAACACAATAATGCTCATTGTTAAGTAAAGGTCAAGTTATTGAAAGTTTCTGGCTACAAGAACATGTGATCATTGAGTATATAACAAGCAGGCGGAACATGCTGGTTGTGGCTTAACACAGAGTTAAAAGGAAATGTAAAATTAGTATGTGATTTGATACAAAGCGTGTCTGCTTTTCGTCGTAAGCTGGATGCCTTGAGAAAGATATTGCGCAACAAGTAAAATTTCTGGGCGATCTTGGGAACGAATTTGCTTCAAGATTCCAAGACTTTGCACAGGTAAGCAAACTATCTTCATTTCTTAAATCACTATTTGAAGTTGATGCAGCGGTAGAATGGACAGATGTGGCTGCTAAGCTGTTTAATCTGTCAAAACCATTACTTCAAATGGAGATTATTGAATTACAAGAAGATTTCTCCTTGTACGTTTATAAATCGGTATCCGCCGAAGAATTTTGGGATAAACATGTGCCAGCAAAATATAAAAATTGCAGACAACTTGAAATCAACTAGCTCAAGACCGTCGGTGCAATTTTTCGCATTAATTTAAGGTCTTTTCTTTTATCATTAAGAATGTACCAAAATAATAAACATCTTGTCATTAAATGTTAACATTAGTTTTTGTTCTGGACCTTGTTAAATTTTTTTTCTAGTATAAAGACCCACATACAATTACTTGCCGATCCCTCTTCTAGACTCTAGTCAGTCGTACGTCATTTAACGCTGTATTGATGCTCAATTGTAAGCAAGGGGCTAGCATAACAATATGTTAAATATATGGACTATGGACTGGTGGGTAATATTCCAGTTTTGCTATTGACGGTCGGCCTTATTTAACTATTGTAGGTATGAAGGAGTATTTTTCTATTTGTGGGTGTCCCAAAAGTTTTAATTTTAGGTTTTACTTTAGCTGAATTACCATTCTACTATAGACATATAAGTTAAGTTTATAATATTTTGGTTTCAGGAAGCCTTTTTGGATTAGTGATACTACATAAATGTTTTAAAGTAGACGATTGCATATTAGGAATGATATGCTGCATTAGTAAGATTATGGCAAATTGTATGTATGCTTTAGGAACTTCGTGCTTCTACATGATGATTGGTACGTATTACTATGATATTTTTTAATGATAAATCTACTCATAAGGGAATATTTCAACAACGGGGTTGAGGTTTCTTAAAACGATGTCGCTCCACTAAAGATATCATAAAATGTCCTTTGTAATTCATGAAATCATATAACTGCATCCTTTACAGTTAACTGCATCCTTTACAGGGAAGATAGTGAGCTTCAACTCATAATAAAGATCGTTTCAGACTGTAAAATCTGGAAGACTACTACAAAACATACCCTATACTGAGAGCGCAGTAGTGTGAGTGCAGATTTGAATAGATCAAAAACACAGTAAATACCTGAATTTTGGGAATTGGAAATTATCTTTTTATTTGCAAGCCAAGATTAGACGTGCTTTGATAGTACAGTTGTCACCGCGGGGAACAAATTAGTGGTCTAACATCTTCTATTGCCTCCGGGTGCTCTGTAGAGGGCTTCACAAACATCGTGAGCTCCTCTACTTGAATCCATTTTCAGGTTATAGATTTCAAACTGTTTTGTCTCCTGATGGCTCGTCTTGAGAAAGACGAGCTATTTCTTACATGACATACGATGAAGTTGTCGAAATAAACATAAGGTTTTCAGCTTCGGTGGCTTGCCTTGACAAAGGCAAGATATTTCTTACATGACTAAATAGTAGTCGAAATAAAACACCAAATATTGTTAAAATAAAATACTCAGCCACAGAGTATGGAAAGCTAAAAAGGAAGCAGGGCCCCGAGAGCACTAAGCTCTCGGAGAGCCCGTGAAGGACTAACTTGATTGACCTGAAAATCGCCTATTTTTATACTTTCTGAAGTAGCGATTAGGGATTTCCAGGTCAGGGAGGGACCAACTGGAAAAATAAGGGGCGGGGCGATGCGTCTCGAACGTGAACTAGTCGCGTCCGAGAACACAGTCATAATGGAGAGAAAAAATCGGTGATACAATAAGATTTTTATCCTTTCGAGCAAGCTTTTTGGTTGTGCATAATTTTGCGTATGAAACACAATTGACTCAAGTTTTTAGGAATGTACTAAAAATTTCCTGTAATAAAGTGTGTTGTTAAAAATAATATATTTAAAATAATATTTATTTTTTAGGTGCTACCCTGGACGTCTTTGGAGCTTTATTTGCTCCAGTTCTTCGATCGATTGGTTCAAAGTTGGTATCGACTGACGAATTGGGAAAGTTTCACTCTCTCTTTAGTATCGTAGAAACACTTTCGCCATTGATTTTTAGTCCAATTCACAGTAAAGTTTATGCAATGACTATCAATAAAAATCCAGGATCGTATTACTTAGTTACTGTGGTTAGTTTGATACCAACATTTTTAATATTTATGTAAGTAAAACTATTTATTACCATAATCATTATTTTTGACATTATATCTTATGTGGATGAACTTTCCTGAATAGCAATCCTTACTGTATACGCCTGTCTAGAAAACGAAATATTACAGATACTTGATAGCTTTAGTTAGGTAGTAAACTATAGTAGAAAATACTTAATGAAAAATATGACGAACATAAATTGCTTAGAATGAATTTTCTCGAAAATTTTTGGAAAATAGCAATTACAATTTTTTATGACATTTTTCGGGAAATGATTGAGTTACCCCTTTTTAGAAAAAAGGTTCTACATTTCTCAAAACCAGAGATATTGCTAATTTATTAGAGCACTCTATTTTAAAGCTCCAATCTTAAATGACAGATCATCTTTTGCCAGTTTAATATATTGCTAACAACCATATTCAGCAATAACAGATATACTCAGTGACACTAGAAGTGTTACACCCAGAAGGAATAATTTCTTGAACTTAATTTTTTGGCAACATGCTAGATTTACATCAAGAATGAAACGATAATGTTGTCAAGAATTTTTATTAGTAAAAAAGTAACCAAAAAAATTTAACAATGTGTTTGGCGACCCCATAGCTCAATAGACTCCTGTATACGTCTAGGCATTGACAAAATGAGATGATCGATGTTTGCTTGTGGCACCTCGTTCCAAGCAACTTGGCAAACTTCGTGTATTAACTTGCCAGAGTCTGTAGAGGATGGTGCAAACTGGACAGTCTCATTCCCATCATATCCCATAGATGTTCGATAGGATTTAAATCCAGAGCACGGGGTGGCCACGACAAACATTAACGCCAGCTTATTGGCGGCCTTGCAGTTTCAGTTTAGCATTTATCGTGATTGAGTGTGTTTGGTGGGCACTAAATAAAATAATACAGGTACTTTAAGAATTTGTTATAATGTTAATTATTATGATTTTTTAAGTATTGCTATGATGTTGTGTGTAGATTAGTAAACATGATGCAAAGTTTAGCAATGCAAACTAACTTTTATAGTAATAAAAATAATATTGTTTAAATTTTATGGCAAGTGAATAACAGTGAGAAGGCGTGCTTGTAACAACATGTGTAATTGTAAGTTATGCCGGAAATCATTTACCACCTGCGATGGTTTTTCCACGTGTTCATTTTAAGGAGCACATGATTGCTGGTGCTCCACCTGGTACATTAGGACTTGCGTCTCGGTCCGGGTGGATGAATTCTGAGCTATTTTTGAAAGTAATTGAACACTTCATTCTACACACCTTGAGTTCAAAGCAAAATCCAAGTCTTTTGCTTACAATCACGAGAGTTACCTTTCTACCCATGTTATAAATATTACTAAGGAAAATGGCGTTACCATTGTTACTTACCCATTAAATTCAACCAATAAGCTACAGCCTTTGGATGTTGGTATTTTCAAGCCATTCAGCTTGGCTTATAATGCTGCCATATATATAGCTGGCCAATGCATGATCCTGGAAAGCCAGTTACTATTTATAAAGTTGCAGGTTGTGTGGGCGAAGCATACCAAATGCAATGACTCTAGGAAATATTACCTCAGCCTTTAAAAACTGTGGAATATATCCATTCGTCAGGGAAATATTCACAGACATCGACTTTTTGCCATGCTTCGTCACTGATAGACGTAAGTTGCCAATGGGTAACCAAACCACCCCTCGCATTCCAGTTCACGAGGAAGCTGGAGAAAAAAATAGATTTATAACTCCGGAAGAGATTCGTAGATATTCTAAGGCTGAGTTTAGAAAAGAAACATGAAAAATCCGAAGAAAAGGAAAAAGCATGATAGTTACTGACACTTCAGAGAAACTTGAGCTGGAATAAAGGCAGAATAAAAAGCAAAAAAATATAGTGGCAACAGATTTGCAGAAAGCAAAAAGTGTTAAGCGAAAGATAAAAGAGAGTGATGAAGATGAAGCAGATGAAGAAGGGCATTCCGATGCACCATCTGAACATTTTTAACCGGAGGTAGACTTAACAGCTTTTGAAGATTTATCAAGAACTCCCAAGTTCGATGATTATGTTCTGGTAGAATTTAAACCAGAAAACACTAAATCAAAACCAGTTTACTATATCGGAAAGCTACTTTCTTGTGTGACAGATGCAAATGAGGTGGATGCCACTTTTATGAGGAAAAGTGAGAAGATTAATTCTAAATTTTACTTTTCCACAGCTTCAGATTTTGCGACAATTAAGACATTTAGATGATATTGCCAAGGTCAGTTTGGTGTGGTCATACTAAACAGCAAAATTCATTTTTCTCATTCGAGATAAATTTCAATTTAATTCCGATCACTATTTTTTTAATGAATCACTACTTTGTAACTTAATTTTGTTTTTTATCATATAAATAAATATTTTGTAACTTAAATTTTTTTTTATGTTTTCTTTCATATAAGTATTATACTGTCTCACTGTTACCCATGCATGGACTGAAAATTGCTCGTTTTTTTTTTTATTTGTAATGAATGCATGTGAGGGTACAATCCTGAAGAAATTTTGTTTATATATGTCATAAAAGTGGACTTATGGTTAAATGAAAAAAAAGTGTCTCACTGTTACCCAGTTCCCCCTAAGGCAGTAAAGTGGTTTGTAAGATGTCATTAACATAACGCGCAGCTGTCATATTATCTCGAATAAAACACAAGTGGTGATCGTCTACCATAGGCAATAGCTCTCCAAATCATTACTCCAACTGTCCTATGTACATGCCTCTCAACAGCAAACTTGATATATCGTCGCTCTCCTCGGCGGCGTGTTACCATCCTACGACAACCATGCATTCCTAAACAGAATTGTAATTTATCGCTGAATGCTACATTACACCATTCTGTCACGCAATGGTGCCGTTCTCTGCACCAATTCAAACGTTGATGGCATTGGTCTGCAGTCACAGGAAGCAGTAGTCGTGGGCGAAATGAAACCAATCCAAAGCCTTGAATGCGACGGTATAATGTACGCATACTAAGTGAGAGCGCCCACCAAAGTGGCGTGGCACGTGGCAAGTAGCACGCGTCTAGCATGTTTCTTAAAATGTAACCAATGAAAACGAATGATTCAGCGCACACCAAAATGATAGTGACGTCATTCATTCTAATCATTCGTTTTCATTGGTTACATTTTAAGAAACATGCTAGACGCGTGCTACTTTCTACGTGCTACTTGCCACGCCAGTTTGGTGGGCGCTCTCCCTTACAGGTTTACCTACTACTCCAACCATTGGTCAGCAATTTGACGCATGGCAGCAAAACGGTCTCACAGAGCCAGTAATCTAAAGCGCCTATCTTGACCCTCTGTGGTACGATCTGGTTGACCAGTTGGTCTTCTTCGTGTTCCTCTACCTTCGTTTGTAACACACGACAGACACACTTTGCCGTACAATTAACAAGACGGCCAATTTCGCGACACGACAAACCCATATCTCTATACGCATTAATTTTACCCCTGTCAAAATCGCTAACATTGTGGTAATTTTGGTGTCTTCTTACTCCTGTTCTTACACTGAATACAATTAGATTGAGGAATAATAATTAAAAATTTTTATACGAACCGGTTTTCACAAGTCGGTCTCTTCACAAAAAAATTTAAAGATAAAACTTTATTTTTACAAAAAGTAGAGAAGATAAAACATTAGTATTGTTACCATAGTATGTTTTAAATATAGTCATTCGGTTGCCAAAAAATCAAGAAATTATTTCTTCTGGGTTTAACACTTCTAATGACACTGAGTATATTTTCAATAAATTCGAACTTTTAACTTACAGTTCTCTACTATACATCCATTATTTTGTATTTTTTATTTTTAGATTGTTATATTGGCAATCTCAGAGTCGAACCAAAAAACCTGAACACCAACAACAAGACGAGAGTTTAATACGTTCTACAGAAGCATGATTTCAGTTAAGAATTTGAAGAAGTTAAGGACTCCAGTATTAAGGATTGAATATTTATTTGTACATAATAAACATAATGTGATAATTAAGGCTGTACTACTAATAAAATTAGATAAAAGTAGTTTCCCATATTCCTACGTATTCCAGTCACTGGCCTCATACAGCTTATTTTGAGGTTATGTCGGATTTTGATTCTATTTTAGCAGAAATTTGTCACAATAAAAAAAAGGCGGTCTCAAGGAAGGAAAAAAATTTCTGAAGTTGATTATGCTAATGTTTAATTCAAATAGTTTTAAAATTTACTTATAAATAAATAATCATTAAACCTTAAGAAGACATAAATCATGAGTTATGTGATCATTCCCTTATAAAGTAAAGGTTTTAATGCAATATTGTTGTATATCCAAAGACCAATGCGAGCATCTTTCAATCTGGCTAAAAACATTTTGCCTTCCCTGAGTTTTTCGTACCGCAATGTTGGTATCCGTGCAAAACGTTGTATTTACGTCACTGTCAAACTACTATCACTGTAAAAAATGAAGGTTAACGTGTCACTGTCTACCCTTTTGCACATAAATAAAGGGAAAAAACGCAAAATCAATATTAACCAGTGGAAGAGAAACATCCGTAAGCGTCAGAGAAATTCAGGTGAAGCATATGTATCTGCTCGAAACGAGAAACCGTCCACATGAGGTGAATGCAACAGTGTTGTATGTTTTGTTAGAAAACGAATTTTTTATAGCCTTATCATTGTCGTTAGCTTTGTTAAAAAAAAGTATGTATGTCTATATGTATTTTAATTATTCTTTCGTTGATTGGTTCCCATGTTCTTCCACTTATTTTTGATTAGTATTCCCACTCCTGCCTTTGCTCTACCTTCTTTATTAACTCCGCTCCAGCAGAGGATATGGTCTTCTATTGTTTCCGTTCCATTTCCTTTCTTTTTGGTTTCTCTTGTTACTAGTATATTGATGTTGCTTTCTCTAAACTCCTTGATCACTTCCGTCGCCTTTTTGTTCCATCCTTGCATATTTCACGTTACATATATGAATGTTCTATCTTTTCTTCGTTTTGATTTTTGGTTGAGCTTTAATAAGACTGGGTCTTCCGAACTCTTCGCAACATTGCCCCCTCCCCGTATCCAATGGGGGATTTGTTTCCGTATTTGGCTTTTTTCTGTGTGTTAGGTTGCTAATTCCCAACGCCACAACTCCGTTTGGAGGACCTTTTCAGCCGCCCATTCTGGATCAGACGCCCTTGGTTCTTCCGCCCTCTCGACCATTGTGGTTCATATAAACGTTTTCATCATTACCTCCAGCATGTGAAGGGAAATTTCTCAGTGGACCCACCCATGGAGCCGTATTATGGACATCATTCAATGAAGCACTTTATTAGAGTAAAATCCATCCGTTACGGATATAAATTCTGGTGCTTTTGGACCAATATAGGTTGGCTTGCAAAATTTCATCCCTATACTGATACTGAAAGTGGAGATAAATTACAGGGTAACTCATTATAAAGTTTCGTAATCGAAAATCTGTGTACAGGGTTTTTACCACAAGAATCTGTTATCTATATTGAAAGAACCCCGCTCAAACAATTAAAAAAAAACAAATTCGTGGAACTTCCTTCGCTCTACATAGCGAAGAACATCAGCTCACTCTTGTTCGCTGGAATGACAATAATGAAGTTACTAAGGCAAGTAATATTTTAACTCCAGAAATATTTACTATAAAAAACTGTAACAGATGGTCCAGAAAAGACAGAAAAATTATAGCGGTCCCTCAATCAAACATTGTGCAAATGTATAAGAAGGGAATGGGTAATGTAGACTTATTCGATATGCTAAAAGGTTTATATAGGATTCGAATTCGGTCTAAAAAAACGGTATTGAGCGATATTTAGATTTTGCTTGAATGGGCAATAGTCAACATATGTCTTCTTTAACGCAGCATTGAGGCAATTTCTTTATTCAAATTTTACAGGCGAATTGTGGAGGCCCAGCTGACAGCTTCAGTTATTCCAACGCCACGTGGAGTCTGTCCAAAATCTTCAAATCATGTTGCTGACGAAATTCGTTTGTATAATGTGGGTCAGTTAGTGGACAAAATTGGAAAACAACGAAGGTGCAGCAAATGTGGCAAGTGTGCCAAATATCGATGCATGTAGGACTTCATCCTGAGCAATGTTTTACCAAATATTACACGTTGTAAAAATTGTAAAATAAATAATGTTTTATGAAGTATTGTGTGCTTCCTTGCCCATCGCATGATATATTATAAGTAAAAAAAATAGTTACAAAGAAAAAAACTAAATGTTGCACATTGCTATCAAAAATAACCTCTCTTTAATTGATTCTGAAGTTGTACTACAAAAAAGAAAAAATGTACAGGCTAAAATGTTCCTGACGAAATTCGTTTGCATAATGTGGGTCAGTTAGTGGACAAAATTGAAAAACAACGAAGGTGCAGCAACTGTGGCAAGTGTACCAAATATCGATGCATGTAGGACTTCATCCTGAGCAATGTTTTACCAAATATCACACGTTGTAAAAATTGTAAAATAAATAATGTTTTATGAAGTATTGTGTCCTTCATTGCCCATCGCATGATATATTATAAGTAAAAAAATAGTTACAAAGAAAAAAAAGTAAATTTTGCACATTGTTATCAAAAATAACCTCTCTTTAATTGATTCTGAAGTTTTGATTTCGTTTTGGGCATTAATGGGTTAATACACGGAAAATCAAAAAATATTCCCTGCTACGAAAATACATGACCCAGATGTTCTTCAATTTTTTGATAGAATAAAAGTTTTAGAAACTGTTTCAGCTTACATCTCAGATGTAACTTAATTATTTTCAACATAGATTCAAGAATATAATATTAACTTTCTATTTTGACATATACGAACTTTTTTTCGTGTAGAATTTTATATAAATCGCTATCAAATATATTAACAAAAAATACATTATCTTAATTTTAATGTTTACTATGTTCTAGCATCTGGAGGAGTGGACTATGTTGGAACATTTAACCGAATATGGGAAAATCATCTAGCAGAGTTGGTAGAGTGTCCAAGATGCGGCAGAAGATTTTTCCCGGACCGCATTGAGGTGCACATAAAATCGTGTGCTGGGCTTAAACTTCAAGTCAAGGACACAAAGAAATCATAATTTTATACATTGTACACAATTTGATAATAATTTTTAATTAAAATCTAAATTCACGTGTTTTTTTACGCTTCATAGTTTTAATTAATTACATTTACATAAATTTTAATAAAGTAGATAAATTTCTGATAGTAGGTATACTCTAAAAAAGACCAGTAATAGCAAAAATTAAAAATTTACTCCTGTCTAAGAGTTTATTACTTTATAAATTCAACTGGTACTACAAAAAAGAAAAAATGTACAGGCCAAACCTTTTAAAATGCTCACGTCCAATAAATTCTTGGTGAATCATAAGGTTGTATCTTTTACAAATTGTGTCAAATCAAATCTAAAAATAAATAGGAAGTACTTAAAAATCAATTAGTAAGTAACAAATCAATTTCGCCTTCTATGCGCTAATGAATTAAAATAATAGTACAGTACTCGTGGTGGGGTGATACTATTAGTACCGCCTTTATTATTGATATCGTCTATTTAGTGGCGCGCCTAGAATTTTCCTAGGAGGAAGAGGGTTTGGTTGGACAACAAAATTTTTTTATGCTACCTCCATTTTGAGTCCCTATAATTTGGGTTTTAGTTTAATTTAAAGTACTAAATCTAGAGAAAATGGGAGTGCGACAATGGGAATTACTGGCAAGGGACCGACAAACATAGAAGGCAATAGGAAACGTGGCAAAGACTCACGAAGAGTTGTAGCGCCATTGATGATGATGTATCTTTCATTACGCATAACATGCCCCAACTATTTCAGCTCTCGTGTCTTGATGGTTTCCAATATTTCCATTCTTTTTTTTTTGGCTCTTCTCATGGCTTCGTTGTTTGTTACGTGCTCGGTCCATGATATATTCAGGATTATTTTATACACCCATAGTTCAAATGCTTCCAACTTTTTAGTAATCGACGCGTAAAGTGTCCATGCTTCAATCCCGTAAAGCAGAGTCAAGAAAATATAACACCTTGCCAACCTAACTCTCAAGTCTAATTTTAGTTCTGTTGCACAAAGTACCTTTCTCATTTTATTGAAGTTTGTTCGTACTTTCTCTATTTAAACTTTGATTTCTTCTTCTTTGATTTCAAGGAGTAATCGTTTGTGTGATTTATTATTGTGGCAAGTTAATTGTAGTTTTCAACTTGTTCTAAAGTTTTACCGTTAATTGTCAGGCTTTCATGATTATTTTGGGTTTTGGATATCCTCGTAAATTTAGTTTTCTTGATGTTTATTGATAAACCATATTCTTCTCCATACTCAACTAACTTGTTCATTAGCTTTTGGAGGTCTTGGAGGTTGTCTGCTTTTATGACAGTATCGTCCACATATCTAATGTTGTTAATTGGTGTTCCATTGTACTTGATTCCTGCTGATTCTCCCTTAACAGCTCTTCTCATATTTTCTTCAGAGTATGCATTGAATAGTAGCGGTGACAAAACACACCCCTGTCGCACTCCTCTTTTAATTTCGAACTCTTCTGATGTGTGTTCATTAATGCGTATGTGTACCTGCTGTTTATAACATACATTTGGGTACACATCCAAGCATCTCTAGATTAGCAAGTTGAATGCAAAGAGAACTTCACAGGTACCTACGCCTCTACGGAATTCAAATTGGGTTTCTTCAATATTCATATAAAGTATTTGGTAAATGCGTTTATGGAAGATCTTTAAAAACATTTTAAGTGTATTACCCATCTGGCTTATGGTGCGGTGGTAGGTACATTCTCTACCATTTTTGTTTTTTGGGAGACAAATAAATGTTGAGGTCAACCCATCGAGCAAAAAGACAATAGAGGGAATATAAAGGTAGTGGGGGCAAATATATTGTTAGACAGGAAGTGCGATCTTTAGAGGCCACTTTAAACAAGGAAAGAGAGTCTCTCTCCTTGTTTGACATCAATTTAGTTGGGTTATGTTATTGTTTGTCCCAAATATCACATGAAATCTTATTTATATTGAAGTTTTTTAACAATTGTGTCGCATTTTAGACTCTTATCATTAGTAATTAATTAAAACTTGCTCGTCTAAGACACATTCTGAAAAATATTATATAGCTACTGTTGATAAGTATCGGAAAATTTAAATTTCGCGCATTCGCATTTCCGGATATGTCCGCCATCAGAGGCCACTTTTTTGGTCTCCTTTTCATAAGGATTAGATTCCCTCTTTTGTCTTATTGCTCGATGGTCAACCATTCATTGGGTATGTCACCCGATTTATAAATTTCATTAGCCCGTAACTGGTGATGCGGGTCATACGAGCCCCAACAGATTTTTAAAGTGACATACATCCTAGCTTATTTAGCGCGACTACTTAATCCCCTCAGTACCTTTCCCATCGAGCAATAAGACAAAAGAGCGAATCTAATCGTTATGAAAAGGAGACCAAAAAAGTGGCCTCTGATGGCGGACATATCCGGAAATGCAAAGGCGCTAAATTTAAATTTCATGACACTTGACAATAATCATACAGTGATGTAGGGGTTCTAATTTATCTATTTATTAATTTTATATTACATAATATTTTATATTATATATTTATCTATTTATTTATTAAAATTATTTATCAAAATACTTTTTTTAACACTAGAACACAATAAAGTTTTAATTAATTAATAACGATAATAGTCTAAAATGTTAAACAATTGTTAAAAAACTTCAATAGAAAATATAAATAAGCTTTCATGTGACAGTTTTGACAAACAATAACATCAACAATAACATAACCCAACTAAATTTGATTTCTTAAACAAGGAAAGAGATTCTCTTTCCTTGTTTAAAGAGGCCTCTCAAAATAGCACTTCCTGTCTATCAATATGTTTGCCCCCACTACCTTTACATTCCCTCTTTTGTCTTATTGCTCGATGACTTTTCCGTCAGTGTCAGTCAGTGTGTTGTCTGATATCGAGCGGGATAGTCGCAAATGGGTAAATGTTTACAAATTATATGGAAATAACTGCACCGTGGTAACATTGCGACCCCACCTCACCGGTTACGTTTTTTAATTAGTTTTATTTATTTACAGTTGAAAATATACCTGTCACGATATAATAAAATGGATTTCGATGATCCTAGGTTTGAACAATGAGCTCAAAGTATACTAAACGCGGATGAGAGTGATTTCAACGGGAAACGAAGACTTAGACAATGATCTCGACTATGTCAGCGAACACGAAACCGACTCAGAAATTGAATGGGAGCTGGGATCCGTGGAACCTCTATTGGATGTTGAAGATAATATCCCGCAAAATGCAGCACCTTCGGAGGTTAATTCGGACTCGATTCATATGAGCAGCAACAAACTCCAGCCCTTCGACAACGTACTATAACAAAAATCGATACAAGTGGACTACAGAAGCCTTCAAATGTAAGAACAAGAAGTTTCAACATTATTTCTTATCTTCCTGGGGTTATTGAGCCAGCCAAGTCTCTTGGGAAATTGTGTCTCCAGAAAAGTGCTTGGGAATGTATAATAATAAACCATATTTTAGAAGAGATTGTTCTTAGAACAAATGAAAAACTTGCCAGGGTTAGAACTAAATATACCGATAGTAATATAATGGATCTAAAAGATTTAGACATTATTAAACTGAGAGCGTTTATCGGTTTGTTATTTTACTCAGCCACATTTAAATCCAATACGGAAGACTTGAGTTCGATATTCGCCACTGACGGTACTGGTAGGTAGAGAAATTTTTAGATGCACCATTTCAGTAAAACAAATCTTAGTGACAGCGCTTAGGTTTGATAACGAAACTACGAGGGAATAACGTAAAAAAACCATTTCATAAATTTTCAATAAGTTTGTAGAAAACAGCAAAAAAGAAATTATTGCATAGGCAGTATGCTTGTATTGATAAAATGCTCATTGGTTTTCGGGGAAGATGTTTATTTTGCATGGACATACCTCAAAAACCCCGACAATATGGCTTAAAGACAACGGCACTAACTGACGCGCGAGCCCATTACTTTTTGGATGGGTATGTATATACAGATACTGAAAGTAATGGCCAAACATTGTCAGAAGAGGAAAGAAAATTTGTTGATAACTAAGTTGAGGAACCAAGGCCTAACTTACGTGGGTACTGTTAAAAAAAATAAAAGGGAGATACCTATTTCTTTTTTGCCAACTAAAACGAGGCTCACGGGATCATCTCTATTTGGATTTAGCGATATAGTTACATTAGTTTCATATGTATCTAAACCAAAAAAAAACGGTACTTTGATGTCTTCAATAACTACAGTAATGCAGTAAACGATGAAACAAACAAACCCGAAATTTGATCAAATAAAAGGCAAATATTAGGCACAGTTTAATTAATTTAATCTTGCCCAAGTACTTTCGCTCCCTAGAGCATCTTCAGGGGCATTTCGTCAAATGTGGCCTATCCGAAGAGAAAAAAATGTTATAAACATAAAATGGTACATCACACTACACTACACAAGGACAAACAAACACTTTACAATTTTTAAAAATAGGCGAAGCTACATTGTACATTGTACAGAAGCCGTAGACAGAAAGATTCTGTCTCCGGCTTCCGAAAATCTATTGTTTATTGCCATATAAAAGGTCTAGTAAGGGTTAATAAAAAACAACATCTAAAAAAACAAAATATATTTAAATCTTATTAAAACACAATTATTAAATATTTAACTCGTATAGATAATAGTATTTCTTCAATAATTATTTTTTATATCACAGATGAACCAATAGAAATGCCAGCTCACTATACAAATGTATTATGTCTAGTCTAAACTCACAATCCATATTACAAAAATACAAAATTCAAAACTGACAAAAAAAAGTTATATAGCTGTCTGAAAAATCTTCATTTAATGATATTCAGGCACACCATATAACGCAAACAAAGTGTTTTGCTTATATAGTGACAACTCCATAATGAGTTTTGGTTATTACACTTAAAAATACTCCTGTAGACGTCGACTGCATAAACTTTATTATATAATAGAGATTTCTACACATTTAAGTTAAAAATTTGAATCACAATATTGTTTATTGTTGTAAAACGATTAAGTTAAAAAATATAAAAAGTTAAAATATTTTTTTTTCTACAAAGAAATGCTGCATGGGTAAAAATAGGCACTTGATTTGATTTCCAATTTTATAAAATGCAAAAATTTAAACCTAAGCATTCCGTGTCAATGGCCATAGATGTCGAGACACGTTAATTTCAATAAAAAAAAAAAAAAAACCTAAGCATTGTCAGCCCCATTGTTTTATATTTTAGAAGTAGTAGTAGTTTGCTGACGAATGACGGTGCTATGATGAAGGGGTGATCACATGAGCGTTCCCTGGTGTTACAGGAACAGTAATAAAAAAGGAAATTGTTCCCGTCCCCGAACCGGTATATACAAAAAATTACGTTGAGGTGTGTTTCTATATTAGTTGCTAAATGTATGAAAAAGCCATTAAGTGGTGAAACGAATCTATTTCCTTATAAAACCGTTGCATGTCATTCATGTTTGAAGTTGACATTTTCGTACAAAGTTGCCGAATTGTTAGGAGGGAAGAAAATGTAAGGAATTTTGAAATGATGAAAGGTGACGTTATTAAGGCTGAATTTGTACACATTATATGAAGTAAAACAAAATTCAGCTCTACATTTTATAAACTGTTATAAAGTTGGTTGCCTAAGTTGTTGTACTTCCACGTGGATTTTTATTGGAGTTCCATAACTGCCACTACGTATGACGTTTGCAGATTTACGTTTAATATTTCGGTTCCTCTTCTTAACGTGCCCTATCAAGTCCCCTTGACGTTGGCGATTAACATGGCGAAAACTGTCTCTGTCTCGAGCTATTCTAAATAGTTGCTCAGCTTTCTTTATTCCTGTCCACTCCCTGATATTCTTCAACCAAGAGGCCTGCTTTCTACCAATTCATCTGCGTCCTTTGATTTTACCCATCATAATAAGCTGAAGAATATTATATCGGTCTCCCCTTACTACGTGTCCAAAATAGGCCATCTTTCTACATTTGATGTTATCAAGCAGCTCGCGAGCAGCATTTGCTCTCTCAAGGACTGCCACATTTGTCAGCATAGCCGTCCGTGAATTTTTAGTATTAGTCTGTGCAGCCACATTTCAAAGGCCTCCAGACGATTAATGGTAGATATTTTTAATGTCCATTCTTCGACACCGTATAAGAGGACTGACTAAATGTAGCATTTAACCATACGCTTTCGAAGTTGAAATTTCAAGTTATCATTACAGAAGAATGACCTCATTTTTAAAAATGTCGTGCGGGCTATCTCGATTCTACATTTTATCTCTTGATCTGGATCTAGTTGTTCAGTAATATGGCAACCAAGATATTAAAACTGGACACTCTTTGAATTATATGACCATCAACATATAATCGTGCATCTTGATGTGCTAAACGGCTAAACACCATGTGTTTTGTTTTTGCATAGTTTATGTTTAGGCCAAACTCTCTTCCCACTGTATCAATGGCAATATTTCGGTTAGGAAAGTAATTTCGTCTAACTCTTAATTTATGTATGGGTTTACCTTTGGTATTGGGTATGACAAAACTGAAGGCTTTCAAATGATTTCGAAAATAACCTTTTAATTTTGAAGTTAAGCTTCTTTAGAAACCTAGCAATTAGCTCCACATTCTTGTTAGCTTGCAAAATGGTGCTAGCAGTAAAAATATTTAAGTTTAAAGCTGCAGTAACACACTGTTAACTGTACTGTGATAACACAGCAATGTAATTGAGTGATATGCAATGAACTTTTTAATATCCTGGATAATATTTTATATACCGATATGTGACAAACCAAAACGAGCAACAATGGGTTTTAGGTTATGGGTATTTTCTTCATCTTAAAAAATATTACATATATTAACAAATTAAATTCATAAAAGCAGTAATGTATATAAATTAGAGAAAATATCACACAAAACAATAAAATAGTGGACTTAAGTTTACTTACAGAACCAAATAACATGTGTCAAATGTTAAAAATGTAGAAAATTAAGAAACGCTCACAAAAGTGAAAATAAACTTAACCTCAAAAATTTTGCACCGCCAAAAATTATGCTCATTTTGATAGTTGACTTTCTGGTGCACTGATTTCGTTAATGTTTTTGAATCTATACTGGCGTTGTATTTCTTTTTCCTCTATAGTAAAATGCTGAGGCGAGCGTCACGGAACTAACGTCATAAGATGGCGTCGTCACGGGTGGCGTCACAACATAGTGGTTTTTTATATCTATTTACTACTCTCGATCAATTTATTTCTAGTCATCATGTATTTAATCTAAGCAGGTTTACATTAAAACCCGCATGAAAAATAACAAAATACTTGGTATTGTTTCAATTAAAACACATGTTACAGAATAAAACCGTCTATTTTCTTTGTTTCTAAAGATATCAGTGGAATTAAAAAACAAAATGTTAACAAAACATTCGAAAACATTTTTTTAGTCTTACCCGGTATAAGCTCAAAAGAGCAGTTTGAGTAAACCTTTGCCCAACAGTGCAGATACCAAATTAAAAGTATAAAACAATACAAAAAAATTAGCGAATCCGTTCATGAGAAAATCAACTATCAAAAAGAGTATAATTTATGGTAGCGCAAAACTTTTGAGGTTGTTTAGATGTAAAGGAGAGAAGCTAACGTCACGATTCAGTACATCTAGAGAAATTTTATTTTGGTGAAGGCGCTGCTAGTAATTATTTATTTATTTATAATTTATTATTATGCCGCATATCCCTGTACGTTAAACCGTTTAGTTGTAATTTTTGGAGTACATCCTGTATATCTGTATTCATCCTCTGATCAGTCAAATAGATCTATCGATTAAGGTGGTATGTCACAATGTTAAAATTTATATACTTTTTAGGTACAGTTATCATCACTATTTCAAAACAAATCTTCAACTGATGATTATGTACATTAGCTGTAAACTTTCTATTTTAATGATTTCAAGTTAAAATTTCCAAAGAAAGCAGTAATTTTTTCATAACTGTACTTAAATGTACACTTAATGTAAACTTAAGTACAAATATGATGACAGAACAGGTTCAGCAAGTTCAGAGTCATCAAGTGTAAAGGTAAGCGCAAATTTAAATTACCTCCAATCGAGTTCAAAAATTATTCAGAGTTTGCAGTCTAGGTTTGGCAGAGAGGATCTCCAGATTGAAGTTAGATTAGAGAGCTTTAAGTTAATTTTGGGTCAAGTTTCTAGTAGTCCTTGTAATATTTGTGCTCTTTATGATATGATTGAAAGTCAACTTCGTAAACTTGAGACCTTAGACAAAACTGCTGACAAGTAATGCGGCGATATTGTATCCTATTTAGTCATGCTTGCCAGAAGATACACTTCATCTAATTTACTTCCATGATACCAACACAAAATATTTAGGGTGTAGGTGTGTTCTTTTTTAGAATCACTTTACCGAGAACACTAGCATTACAGCCACTAGACATATTTTATTATATACGCGTAGAAATAATATTTAAAAATTTCTATTAATGTTAACTTAATGAAATACACAATAATATGTTTCATTTAATTTGTATAAATGCATTATAAAGCGTTTTTATCAAGAACATTTGTTCGGAACACACTGTAACTGTAATCGAACAAAGCTAAAATTTTGGCATAAATTAGTAACACTTATTTGACAGTTGCGGTGTTGACACTATTTGTACTTCATTATTTTGAATTTTAAAGTGAATATCTCTTGTTTTATATTTTTAACTATTTAATAAAATCTGTTCTTTTTAGAACAAAATTAGTGTGTTTTATTTCAAAAATGTCACGTAAGAATTTAAATAGTCGTTGTAAAGAGATGGTAATACTTTTGCAATAATTATGTAATCTATTTGATTAAAAATGGAGTCAGGATTTTTTTATACTTCGGCAACTATGTCAACTTCGATCTCTGACGTAGATAATGACGTAAGTCGTTATCTAAATTAGATGAAGTATATATGATTTTTACAGAGTGAAAGTATTTAGCAACAAATTTGTTTTATTTAGCAACGGAAGGTTTTCGTTTAGGGCTAAAAATAAATATAAATTCAATAGCCTTGTTACCAAGAAAAACGTAAAATACAAAGAACTGATCAGCCCTTAGCGTCCGCTGCTGGTTAAGAAATTATGAGGTTTACAGGTGTATATTTTCATTAAAAGTATTGTTTTGTACTTGAAATTTAATTTTTTAATTTAAATAGGAAACAAGACTGATATGCACTATTTAAAATGTTTCTCTCTCTCTCTCTCTTCATTCCTGACCCCCAGGGGAGTGTAGTGGTCGACGTGATGTCGTGTATTGTCCGTCTCCATAGATCTCTGTCTCTGGTCATTTCTTTTAATTCATGCATAGGTCTTTGGCATATTCCTGTAATATCTATCCATCTTGTTGGGGATCTTCCTCGTGATCTTCGGCCTTCTACCTTTCCTTGTATTATGAGTCTGTGTAATGAGCCTGTGTTTGTGATTAATGATTCCAGATATAAGTATGAGCTCACAACCTCGAACCGGTCAATTGTGGTTATGTGTGGATGATTGTTGTGTAGTCTATCCACTATCATGATCTTTGTCTTTGATATGTTTAATTGCAGACCAAATATTTGACTTTCGTTTTCGATCAGTCGTATAAGTTCTATCAGCTCTGCTTGACTATTTGCAAGAAGGGCTGTGTCATCTGCGAAACGTAGGTTGTTTAGTTTATGACCTATTGAGATGCCCTTTTCCCATCCTTCAAATGCTCTTCGCATAATATACTCCCCATATATGTTGAATAATTGTGGAGATAGTATAACATCCTTGTCTGCTACCCCGTTCTGGATGAAATTCGTTCGAAAGTGTGTCAAGTACTTTAACTGATCCAGTAGTGTGTTCATATAGTTCGGTTGATGTTGTGGTACGCCTACTTCTTTTAGTATTCGCCATAAGTGTCTCCACTTGACCCTGTCGAACGCTTTACGGTAATCTATAAAACAGATGTATAGTGGGATGTTGAATTCCCTAGATTTCTCGATTATCTGTCTTATATTCAGCAGGTGTTCTCGAGTGCCTCTACCTTTGGTAAATCCAGTTTGCTCTTGTGGAATTTCTCTTTGAAGGAATGTTTTCAGTCTCTCATTGATTATATGTAGCATTATCTTGCTGGCATGGGATATAAGAGAGATAGTTCTATAATTGTCGCATTTATGGAAGCTGCCTTTTTTATGTATGGTCGTTATTGTAGATTTTGTCCAGTCTTCAGGCCATTGTTTGGAATGCCATATTTGGTTACAGAGTAGATGAAGTAACTTTACGCCGGTTTCTTCTGTGGCTTTAAACATTTCTGCTGTTATCATATCTGGACCTGGTGCTTTGTTATATTTTAGCTTGTTGATAGTTATTAGTTTTATAAACATTTAAAATGTTTATAAAACTAAAAAAAAACCGTAAAAATTAAAGCTGCAACAACTTCAAAGGTAAATGAACAACACAACACTATACAAAAATTAAAAAATTATATCGAATGATCCAATCCAAAAATTTGTGAAACTTCACATAATAGCTCATTTCAACTTAAATTGAAGAAGTCTGCCGATTGAGAGCGAACTGTACCGATTCTACCGATCGTACATTATATTATAAGTCCCAGTACTTGATCTCGTTGGCAACAATGTCGCTGTTCAAAGAATTAAATTTCGAAAAAATCAAAATATAATATGATGTACGTGCCATCTACTCAAAGAATTGGTAAACGTTAGTTTATTTAAATGCCACTCATTTTAACTGCGGTGTGAACATACTCCCTGGAGTCGCTATTCATCTGTTCTTCGCAGCAATCGAAGGCAAGGTCACGCGTCATCAAAATAAATAAAATTGAATAATTAATAACAGCGCCTTCACCAAAAGTAAAATTTCCCAGATCTACTGAAATTGTGAGGTCAGCTCCTATCCATTAAATGAAGCTGCGCTACAGGACCTGTTGTATATCTACTCGAAAATTGTATAGATTTGACGTTTTATCTAGCGGGGCAAATATAATGTTTGTAAACTACTGTATTATTACCAAAAACTCAATACATAACCTTATATGAACTGGCAACTCTATGATCCAATAATCTGCGCTAATTCTAAAATGACCTACCAATATATTTCAAGCGACTGTTCACTCAAATCCTACCACATTAGTCAACCACTTTTTATATTTGGCCAGCTGGAAAACACTACCGTTATGAGAAGCAAAAGTCTTCTCGCTGTTTAAAAGGATTTCGTACAGATTGGATCGTTCTGTTTTGCTCATTGTAACACTAAACATATTTGGCAATCTATTAGGTTCGACATCAGTCTGGATATTGGCTGCAGTATCCAAATCGGTAATGTTCTTTCCATCGACAATGTTAAACTCTTTGTCCTGATTTATTTTTATTTTAAATTCAACTCCGAGGTAATCACATTGCACCTTAAGGAGATGATGTACAATAAATCTCCTATGGGTAAAGAGGGCTTCGTGTTCCGGGTATGTTTTATTTAATCTACCAACAAAATGAAGATCGTGGAGAAGTATACAGATAAGATTCACATAAGATGAGGTTTTTTCCACCAAATGGGGTTTATAAGGGTTTCCCATTAGATAAGTAAGGAGACTACCATATTCACATTCACCTACTGTGTTTGCATGATTTTGTATGACATACTGAAAAAAGGAGTCCATTACTTTGAGGTTCTTATGTTTTTTTACTAATTTTATAAGGTATTGGCGATAATGGTATCCTGCGTGTTCAGACACATGGGTGTTGATCCAGTTCTCGCTGTATAGTAATTCGGAGTAAATTATTCTACCGAAATTGAAGTAGTTTGAAGCAATGTTTTCCATACACCTGCATAATACAAAAACGTGATTAGAACTGCTTAAGTTTAAAAATGGGTCAAAACGATTTTTCTACATACATTTAGGCCCCAAGTGCCTGTATCTGTGGATAATGCATGACATGTAACCATGGGTAATAAACAATGGATGCTTTAACACAGAAATACTGTACATACAGTCTTTTATAGTAGAATATACATATATTATGTTAAAAAGCATTACCGTGTGGTACACATACAAAATTCTGAAAACTTTACAAAAAAATATTCTTTCAAGCTGGTACAATGTAGCAACAGAAAAGCGAATATTAGACAATCATAGCAGAAATGAAGAACAATTATGTAAGAGAGGCTGCACCATAATCAGTAAAGTAAGTTGAGAATGATGCTGATTACTTACCATATTCTATGATTCCAACTGTGGTAGTTATTGGGGGCTTTTTCAGAAGCAACATCAATTGTAGTAAATTCATTTTGTAAAAACGATATAGCTTCTTCTTTACTATATGTTGTTAGTACATTTTTTATCAATCTTTTCAACAACCATCTTCTATATGCAAATGACTCGTTTGATTTTGGTTTGTTGCTCAAAACAATTTTACTGAAATAAATCATACAATGACATTATCCACTTTATTCAATTTTTATTAGATGATAATCAAAAATAGCCCAAAACTATAATTCCGACTAAGTCCCCTTGATATTGGTGATTAACACAGTAAGACTCCTCAGTCTTGAGCTATTCTTAACAATTGTTCAACTCTTTATAACCAGATCTACTCTCTGACATTCTTCAGACTATATATCTTGTACGGTTTGGTTTCTCAAGAAAAGCTTTTAATTTATTAAAATCTTATTTGTCAGATAGAAAGAATACAGTAAAAGTAGGTAATTGCTTTTCTCACCAATATGTGTCATCCTCAGGAGTCCCACAGGGGAGCAAACTAGGACCATTGCTCTTTATTTTATTTATTAATGATTTGCCAGACTGTATTAAATCTTGTAACAGCTTAATCTTTGTTACATATTTTTAATAACTTAATAAATACATCATTGATGTGACACTTACTAAGCTTAAGAAATCTCTGTTGAAATATTTTACCAAAAAAAAAAGATCCAAAGAAGCAAGTAGTAATTAAGATTTAATGTATTAAAAACCTTACCAAAAGTACAACTCATCTTTCTCATCCAGAACTTCTTGTTCTACTAATTCTCTCTTCATGTTCCAAAATGTACCAATATCTGGATTTATAAGGAGAGCTCCTATTAAATATTTATTCAGCTCCTCCATTTCCTCATAAAGGACCTTTCGTTTTGATAATAAATATCTTTGTTTAAATAATACTGAACAGGCATGCTGGAATAAGTGTTTTATGCACCATGATTCTAATCCTATATTGTTGTATCTATAGTGAAGAGGAGATGTATTTGTTGAATTTTCTTCAGTAGGAATTATTGTAAACTCTTGTCTAAAAAATAATAAGGTTTCAAGTAAATAAAACATAGAAATTACTGTTTTCTTCTATTTATTCACATGGAAATAATGCTACAAGTGTGATTGGTTGATAAACTATATAAAGGAAATCCAGGAAACATAAAGAATACCTCATCTTTGCTAGATAAATGTGCTTGCATGCAGATAATTAGATAGATCTTTATTTTCACTAAATATAATAAGCTTTATGGCCACTCGTAACTCGTAAGGTTGGGTTTAAGGAGTTGAATATATTCAAAAGGTGCTGTTACTTTCTTGTACATACTGCATTCCTTTATAGTAATAGAATATACTATCATAATGCTATAATTTAGAAATTGTGTGGGTGTGTCATAACATCTTGAAAAAGAGAGTAGGTAATATTGTAGTAAAAACTAGTTACAGCTTGGCATTAAGACAAGGATTACAGTGATATTCTGAGAACCTGAGAAGATCTAATTTAACATTCTGCAAACTGTTATTTCCTGAACATAGGAGTATTGTAAATTCTAATTTTGTGGAGATACCATGACCATTATTTAAAAATAGTTAAATTTTAACTGGTTATTAAAGGGAGACTCCGATAATACGTGTCGCAGATCATTAATAAATTTGGAAACAAATATTTTTTAAGTAGTAGCCACTTTAACATCAAACTTCTGAAGAGCTAGGTTAGAAGTAAAAATATATACTTACAGGTGCTTATTATTTTTAAAAATGGATTCAATCATAAATAAAATTCGATTAGACATAGCACCACTTTCCGTCATGTTGAAGGAAAAAAGTCGACACGTTTTAGAAATAAATTAAAATTAATATTTCATTTTACCCATATTTACTTTCCAAAACATTTAATGTCATAATGCAAATCACAGAATAGCAATCAATTGGAGGTTAAAACTCACAGAACACGAATTAAATTAGGTAAAAATAAAAGGATTACAAAAAAATTTCAATGAATTTTTATGATAAATGTAAAGACGTTTTTTCTTTTAACATCAGGTATTTGAACCAATTGACCAATTTATATTAATTAGGCAAATATTGAAATTTAGAGTGGTGAAATGAAAAAACTCAAAAGAAAATTCTTAAGTGTCATTGGTCCGAAAACAAGTAACAGGTATTAGTTACTATGTACACCAATGAAACATAATCTTGACAATACTTGTGAAACTGACTTACAATATTATTTTTATTAACTGTCAAACCTGGAGTTGAAATTAATCTACGTCATTTGTTAATGAAATTGATACACAAACAAACCTTTATGCCACAAATACTATAAGTAGCTAATTTAAATTGTTTATATGGGCATAAGTAGTGAAATATACATAATACTGTAGCTTTTGTACTAGTCATGTGAATGTAAATAAGCCTCTATTAACTTTAGAACATGAATGTACAAATTGTTATAACTTTTAACCACATGTAGAGAAATCTAAAATTAGGTTTTCATTTTCGTTGACATATATTGATGAAGAACTGGTCAAAAAGACATGTGTACGATAGAGGATATGCGGGATGTTTAAGTAAAACATGTCCTTAACCATTCTGTTGGAACTTGGGCACAGTGCCTCTTTGAAACAGAAAAAAGATTCTGCAGGATTCACTCATGATTGGGAAGTTTTTGTTAGGGGACAGAACGAAGCTAAGATCCAATATTATGTAGAAAAAGTGGTCTTCAATCTGCATGAAAGCTTTCCCAAACCAAAGCGAGGTACAAATGTTTTTCAGAAATAATGTAGGTATTTTAGAACAGCAGTTACTGGATCTTTTTCTTTGCTTTACAATAATATGTACTAAAAAAAAACTCAAATCGATATGAAATAAATATTAGCTTATAAATTTTTACAGAATATATATTTCAACAATCTTTCAAATGTGGATGCTAGAATTTATATTTTTGTCATCTTTCAGATTCAATTTTCATGAAAATGGTAAAAAATTCTTCTTGTCCAATTTTAATATGTGCATCACAGTTTTTCTAAATTTGACATATGTGTCTTGACTAAACCCACTTGACTACTTACATAAAGTTAGTATGCTAGCAATCAGATTGATACTCAATAATCTGTTTCTTAATATTCATCATCATCAGTAGCTCTACAACCCTTCCTGGGTCCTGGCTTGTTGTAGGATTTTCCACCATTCTGTTCTGTTCTTTGCTTTGTTTTCCACTTGTTCCATGTATCTAAGTTTGGGTCTTCTCTTTGACCTTCTCCTTACTAGTGATTGCCTCATTATAATGGCGTTTCAATCTCCAACATCTGTTCAATATGGCCCATCCAGCGCAGACATTTGATCTTTATGGATGTTACGATCTCGGGTTCATTCTTTGCTGTGTATAGTTCAAAGTTATATCTTCTGTGCCGTATGTCATTTTCCTTTACCTCCTTATATATGTGTCTAAGGATTTTTCGTTCAAATGTACCTAATAGGTTCTCATCGCTTTTCGACAGTGTCCACATCTCTGATCCATATACAAGGAGTAAGGACCGGTTTTATCAGGGTCTTGTATATTTTGCATTTGGTTTTTCTTGTGATGTTGTTAGGTCTTAGATGTTTAATTAGTCTATTATATGTTTTATTAGCGATATGTATTCTTCTCTTAACTTCTTCACTGTTATTGTTATCTGCGGTAACTAGTGAACCTAGATATGTAAAACTTTTCACGCTTTCGATGTTATTGTCTCGTATTGTCAGATTCTGTAGCTTTCTTTGGCCTGTCGATTTACTGGCCTTCATGTATTTGGTTTTTATTTCATTAATGTTTAGGCCACTGTTTTGTGCCACTTTTTATATCGCTTTAAATGCTCTATCATCTCTCTTTCACTTCTAGCTATGATATCAACATCATCTGCAAATGCCAATATTTGTACACTTCTTGTTATTATTATTCCTCTGGTGTTGACTTTTAACTCCCTAATTATTTTCTCTAATGTGATGTTGAATGGGGCATCTCCCTGAGGTAGGCCTGTTCTATCCAGGGATTGTATCTGTTAGTTCGTTTTTAATTTGAATTTTGCTTTGTTTCTTAATATTAAAATTGAGATATATGATCTTGATGTTTTGATTAAGAATCAATTATTAACACATTTTTTATAAAAAAAATTTCGAGATTTTAGATTATATCAGGTAACTAAAGGACTATGTGCCTTCCATTTTTCAATTCAATATCCATCAAAGTATTCCAGTATTGATTTCTTTTAATAGAAGTGTAAATTTTCCAAAAATAAAAAGAAGGTGGGCTTAAAAAATATGCTTTAGCCAGAATATATTCTCCAACAGAAAGGTTGTCCGTATTTGTATCTCACATTCGCCAAAAATATCTACATCATCTGAACTTTGGCCACTTTCTTCCCAGACTTCTTCTTCAGAGCTTTCCATATTTTGTAAAGGCTTACATCTGCACATGCACCTTCCCAGTTAAAACTTCTGTTAAACACTTTCTGAATTAACTTGTTAGTCTGCGTTAACTTGTTAGTTGCATTTTTTTCTTCAAGACCTTTCAGTACATTCTTAGGAGAAATGTGCAGTTTCTTCAATTGATGAACAGGAATAGTGTGTTTAGAATTTTTTTTTCGAAGTGAACATTTTTCACTTTAAACGGACATAATCCGCAAGCACAAAAACCATTCATAATCGTTTCTTGGTTAATATGAGATAACGCTTTCTCAAAATTTTGTTTTTGAACTCTGTTGTTTGAATTTTCAATCTACCAAGTTTGCACCTCATTCTTGTAGGCAAGCTTTAGAGGTCTAAAAACTGCAACATCTAGTGGTTGGGGAAGATGTGTAGAATTTGGGTATAAAGCCACTAATTATATACCATTACTAGCACAGAAATTAGACAGATGTAAAGTTAAATGAGATGAATGGCCATCTAAGAAAAGAACGACTGGTTTTTTAATGTTTTGTTTTCAAGAGCTAGGTTAAATATGTTACTATGTTATTCTGATATAAGAAAACACTACTATAGAAGGAGCTATTTTTCCTGCTGCATTCATGGTGACCAATACTGTGAGGTTTTCTTTCTCATTGCCTTTAGATATATAAACACTTTTCTTCTTCTAACCAAAACTTTATCGGATTTTGGAGATAGATAAAAGGCACTCTCATCCGTATTGAATACTCTAGTTGAGTCGCTTGTAATGTGAAACAAGTTTTTACAAATCAAATAATCTTATATTTCACTGAATATGTTTCTAAGCTGACCTTCGGTAACCAATTTCCTACAAGGCATTAATGTTTGGCAAACTCTCTGAGAAATTTCCTTGTGTCTCCTTAGAAATAATTGGTACCATTTGTCACTAGGGTTGGTCATCATTTTTAAAGGTTTTTAACTTTTTCGATTATTTCATAATTTTTTGTACTGAATCAAGCAACTGCATCTTTATGACAGGAAAGTGTCTTTTAGATAGTGTTAATGAACTGAACTAAAATTGACTCCACTTCTGAAGTAAGTATAGTTGCAGGCCCTGGAGAGCAAACTAATGGCGACTTCACTTCTCTTTTATGAATTAGCATACTTCTGGGTACTCCATATTTTTTAGCGGCTGTTGCTGTAGGAACCCCTTGCTTTACTTGTTTCAAGGCTTGTGCCATATTTTCAGGGGCATAAACCTTTCTCGGCCCCATTTCTGAAAAAATACAAAATTCAGACTTACATCCAATTATTGTCACAATGTTTCCAATTATTCACACCCAGTGTCAAGAATTGGTTGCATTTAGTTTTAAGAAATAAATCATATACTGTCAACATCACCGTAAAGTAAGTAATCATAATACATACAAACTTCCTAAAGACCTATCATTGACCTATTGCCAATAATTGGTCAAATACAACTTCCTTAAAACAATTATTGACATCTCAATTTTCAATCTCGCCTTTGGTGTTAGGTTATGTTTACTTACTGTTTATTGTTATACAGATCTTTCTGAATAAAGATTTAATTTTATAACTTTACGTCAAAAAGTAAAGGGTTGATATTGAGCAAGTTGTGGTGTTAAATGTGGTCTTCTATTCTTTCCTGTCTTTTTTAGGAATAGAATTTGCCGTGTTACTCACCTTTAAAAGCCGGGTTGCCAAGAGCGTATCATCCGAATCGTTGTCTGATATGTCACTGATTCAGTGTGATCGTCACTCATTTCTTCCTCACTTTCAATAATTATTTCATTCTCATCCAGATTTCTAGGTTCATCCCCATCATCATTACTGTCAGGAAAAAGAGAAAGATCTAAATCAGAGTTATCTAAATTCACATTATCTGCGATTTCCTGAAGTTAAGTTGCAGTCAGCGGCCCTAAAAATGAAAAAATATTTTTAAATACACCACCGTTTAGGATCCAAGGTATCATCAATGATACCTTGTGGTTAGGGCCAAAGAACTATTGTACCTATCATCAATTTATCACAATTTTAATTTAGTACCTTTTTTTAACACTAAAATGCACTGATCATACACAGAAACATACTAAATATTATGTACCTACTTATTTTTATTATTGATGATTTTTTTAGCGTCTGCCATGACATATTTATGTACTGACTCACAACAAGTCTGACTAACTCATTTCATTCAATCGATATGTAAACCACGGCGCAATTTTTTACGCATAGTAGATGCTTAACACGGGCGATACTTACGGCAGAATAACTGCGTTTGCCGTCGAATGCGAAAAATAATTTGTTGAACAGTAGCATCATATATGATACCTGGGGTCTGGGAGGTTATGGAGCAGTAGAATAACATGCACCAGAAGTATATTCAAATGCTAATTGTTAACAGTTCCGTCATTATTGTCACAATTAAAAAAAAACTGTAAAGAAACACAATGATTTATTCAATAATTCATAACTTTGAAGAAAATCAAGATATCAAAATTAAGAAAAAATGGACAGCGAATGCACCAATCTTTCATACAAAGTAGATTTGAGTGACGTCCAACAGTTGTATTTCACCACGGGGTCACATAAGCCTATATGTTTTTCCTTTTATAATGTGTATAAATCGGGCAAAGCGGACATTTTTTTTATAGCATTTGAGTACAAAAAGTATTTTTTTTTAATTTTGATCTTGCATTATCTAATTCTTATTTTAAATCTTAGTTTAAATAGTAACATAGACAGTGAATCTCCTTCCCTTCATTTACTTCAACTTCGTCCTGAGTAAAATCCTTTCAATGGATATTTTTGATGAATGCATCATTAACTACTATTAAATCTTATGTGTTACCGCAGAGTATCCTGCTATTTACATAATACTAGTACATTAAATATTGTGTAAGATATATTTTATCAAAATAGTTATGGTTTTATAAGTATAAAACTGTAGAGAACTGTACATTTTTAGTACAATATAAAAAGTATTAGCAAAGAGAAAGATTATATTTCAGGGGTAAGGTAAAATTGTTGGTAACAATAGTTTAATTGCCTAATGGTCCATATTAAATCTTTTTACATATTTAACAGGTATTAAATTTCGAAAGTCAACACTTGTTTCCAACTTTTATGAATTTCATAGAATATTTACTGAATATGATAATTCAAAAAGCTTTAATAGAGACCAATACATTTAATGCTTTGGTGGTATGTTTTTAAAATAACCTTTTGAGTTATATGTATTTCTGAAATGTCTACATTATTAAAATTATTTTATTTAAAATCTTTAGAATAAATAATACTAACCTGTATGTATTTTTGTGTAATTTTATGATT